TTATCATTATCATTTACTGGTTTATCAATAACATTCGAAGGTTTCAATTTATTTCCATTTTTTGGTTGAATAAGAAATAAAGTGCTATTGATCAAAAATTTGTTACTAGAACCTAGATATTTTTTGAAACCTATTTTTTTTCTCTTGGTAATTCAGTGGTTATCCTCGACAAACGAATGTTAATAAAAACGACTTTTTAATTTTACTTGAATTCGAATTGTCGCCTAAAACACTACAAAAGCAGTGATGATGATTATCGCGACAAATAAAACTATTAGTTTTTAATTTCCCTGTTAATCATTGGTTACTGTAACACATATTTTTCGGGTAGGCCGAAATTTTTTTATTTCGTAACCGATAATAGGCTACCGTAATTTTTTGTTTTTATACCGTAGAAAAATTATTACGACCCAATCCCTAGTTAGAAGTAGTTATTCTGTAGTATTGAATCTTACTAAAAATTGATCGTTACTTTCCCGTAAATTCGAATTTGAATCTAACGACCGAATTGAATAAATTAGCTTTTGAGAATGCTGATGGTTTTCACCGATTGTTGTAACACGTAATTTCAAAAACTTTTAATCCATCGAAAAATCGTTAATTTTCCTTTTGAATCAAAATTTGTAACGTTTTTACTTTTAAGAAAAGGGAAACAGCCTAAAAACTATATTTTAGTGAACAGTTGAAAGTCGTTCCATGATAAAGCTCCAGTACCCAATTTTTTACAGCACTTTCCCCTTTAAATGCCTTCGTCTCGGGTATATCGCCAAACTATCATATTCGCTATATTTAATACACTATCCACTGCTTAAAATCGGCCAATATTTGGGTGAATTTTACGGTAAACAAGGCTTTGGTAGGTATAAAAAATCCATTTTTAATTTAATTCTATTTTAGTGACTCCGATTGCTTTTATGGCAACGATACTAGTATCTATATTAATCCACCATTTCTATGAAGCAATATTGCTAAAAAGTGGCTATATGGAAAACCTTTTAATATGCCTTAAATACGCCGGAATTTCATGGCTGCTTTGCTGGAAATGGGAGACGATTTTGAGGCCGGATTGTGGTAAGCTGGATTAATCTGATCTAAGGTATCTAACAGATTTTATTTTCAATTTACAGTTCTGTTTTTAATTTAACAGCTTTGATTTTAAGATTTGGATTTTTCTCCTGACTTCTCGGATGAACGCGCCCAAGAGCGTGTGAAATTCCAGGAAAATTGAGCGTATGGCAATTGTTGATTAAATTTTTTTAATAAAACCGCATAATTAATTGTGTAAATGGTTTTGCAACAAAACGTAAATTTAAAACTCGTGTTCCGAAAAAATGTTTCAATGAATTGAGGCAAAATGATTCGTTTTCGATGTATAACTCGTGGTCTTTTTTGGTCAACCAGACTGGCGTAATAAGCTTGAATTTCAAGTACCCTAAAACCTCGTGTATAGGTCCTTCCCGTGCATAGTTCCGGGTGAAAATTTTCATGTGTACGGAGCGTCCGTAATTCCGTATGACCGTCATTAGGTGTGTTTCGTTTTTTCGGGTTCTTGCAAATGACGCCGCTCACGAATGGTATTTTTGCAATTTTGATGGAATATTTGTTCGTATTTCGACTATTTCCAACAATTTGAGTTGTTTAACGAAAGAAATTGCTGCATGAGGCCCTGAGAACCGGCTCTTTTGGCTTACATAGCTTTTGGACCGAATTGTACCCTACGCACATTATTTGGTGTCAGTGGTATTGGTACGGAACCAAATTGTACCGGACCTATACACGAGGTTTTAGGGTAACAAGTAAAACAGAATTAAAAGCAGCCGTATATTTCGAAAGCACTGTAAAACTGGGATCAAATAGATGACGATGAACATTGATCAAAAAGACGAATAGCGATTAGTGTAATTCTAATGGGTACTGTAGTGCCTTTTTCAAAAACATAGTTTTCTATCTTTTCGTAACAATCAATTCAAATTTCAGTCCAAAAGGCGGCCATTGCAATGAATCTGAAGTATGCAAAGTCGATGTACAATCTGACGGGCGGAATTTTCGTTGATGATGGTTTTGGGAGGCCGACACCACCATTTGGCCATTATTCATACCAGGTTTGAAATTAAAAATTAAAGATTTAAATCCGCGGTTAAAAATGCACAATCTTGGGAACACGTCTCTTTGAGAGCTACCGCGGCGCACTAAAAAAATTAGGTTTGCTCATGATTTTAACAAAATAGGTTTCTTAAATTTTTGACTTTACGCGAGGCTGAAGGCCTATAATATTGTCATGCGCTAAGACTCATGGGGGTTAAGATTTTTTGGCTTATCAGACCAGAGCTTTCAGGGCTCCCTGACATTTGCGCCCCGACACTTGCGCCCCGCAGTTTAGGACCTTTTCAGACTTTTTTTAAAAAAACGTCACTTCTGCTCACAATTTAAATAATATATGTTCGCAATTTTTTTAATTTCATTCGTGGGTAGAAATCCATAATCATCAGACGCGAAAGTGTTTTTAAAGTGTTGAGTTTTTGGTTGGGGTGCCATTTTAAAACGCCGAATCACCACCGCCAAAATTCAGCATATGCGGAAGAAACGGTCCGATGCAATATTACTTAAATTGTGTAATACCTTAACTAGAACATATGAATCAAACTATAAAAGTCCGTGAGTCGATCTCCAGTAGGGGGTTTTTGTTTTTTGGATTCTGTGCATTTTTAGGCGTTTTTTCATTGACGGTTTTTCGGTGAAACGGCTAAATAAAAAAGCTATTGCAGTCCTGGTTTCATCTGACCTTGCCTGGCCCTTTAAAAATAAGTAGTTGTGATGAAAAAAAAAAAATAGGTTTCGTAGGCGTTACACCTTTTGAAACCTTAAAAATAGGCAATGGGTTAGCGATGATGACGTAATTATAACGCCTTACTTTATTATGGTGATTTCGACACGCATCTACCGTAACACTGAAACCTCCATCTTTGTTTCAGAACAATACAGGAAGCACAACAATTGTTGTTATTGGCAACTCCTGGGCTACACAACAGTCCTACGTACGTGAAACTCGATTTTTTTGAAAGAGTTAAATTAATTCCATTTTTCATTCCTTAGTTTCACAAACAACGCATTTACAACTGCAAATTCATTTAAATTTAATTATTTTAATTTAAATCGCTGGTGCGGAATAAAACCATATAACATTCATTTTTAAGCTAATTCGGAACCTTTTCCCGCCCGAGTCAACGAAATCATTTGACGTCTTTACGATGCCTGCCTTGTGTGTTGTTTTGCACCCAGAAAAAGGTTTCGGAAGGAAAATTGTATGTGATTTTTTTACAGGAAAAACGCAATTTGTCATGGAGTTTTTACGAGAGATACGGCCGGACTATGTATTTTTGCTACTACGGTATGTGGTGATTTTATGATATTGAAAATAAAATTGGAATATTTTAAATCTTGGCAGTTTACGAGTTTCGTCTGATCTGAATTTAAAAAATAGTGATGCAAATAGTTACTTTCAAAATGTTGATAATCAAATATCGAAAATCAGGAGATAGAAAATCACAACATCGAAATTTGATAACGTCGAAAACTAGAATGTCGAAATTCATAATTCCGAAGTGTCATAATAACAAAGTTTCATAATGCTGAAATTTAAATATAAGTAAGTCATCCGGAAAATCCCCAAAGCAAAATACACACTGGAAAGGATCACGCTTTTTTACAGTCTTCCATTAATGGTTATGGCTAATCCAACAATAAAATCCAAATTGAAAGGCGGCACCTGAAAAACTACGAAACATATAATCACAAATATTCAGGTACAACGAGCACGCCCACGATTTGGAGCCCTTCCAAGGAGATCAAGACATGGTTTTGAAAAATTATTTGGATGGATTGCTGGAAGTTAGGTGAGATCCATCACATTCTCGAATTCTGCGTTCGAAACTCCAACATTCGGAAGATTTGCACCTGTTCAAAAAAATGTTTCAAGAATTTGTGAGCCCAGCCGTAAAATAAGGAGTAACAGAACCAAAGAACGATATCACGGATCATTGAGTTTGAGCTAGCGCCATCTTTTTTTTGCAGCGGTTTACAGAACGTACATGTTAGTACTGCCAATTACTCCGCGATTTTTGATTTTGAGTTTGAAACTATCTGCTACACATTTTTTGCAGCCGAAGCCGCAAAATAGATAGCATATCAAAATTTCCGAAAAAATGTGACGGCCATTTGCCAATCGGTCGCAAAAAATTATTAGGGAGTTCCAGGATGGCTAGAGTAGTACGTCCGGTTTTCGAACTTGGTCACTGATTTTGCTCAAAGGGGCTCCAAAATCTGTTCCACGCCCCCCGGCGTTGATTCCTGACAAATGGCCAGATGCGACCGCAACGCAACCACGCTGCATGATCTTTTGCCCCAGTTTGTATGTGAAAACGCTTGAATTTTAAAGTTCTGACGTTATTTCTGGAATCCTCACCGAATTTTGGTCATTCTAGACTTTTTAGTTTTGAAAATTGGTCAGAGAATCACCGAGATCGAGATAGGGTGTCTTACAAGGCATTACGACATGTAATCGTCGCCCGTTCAAAATCTTGTTTTCGCCCCCCCCGAGAGCTTTTCGGTTTTTCCCAAATATTTTACGTATTTTTCGCAACGAAATCGGTTTTCTGGTGGTTCTTGACGGTGACCTCGCAGCCGCCAATTTTGACTTCCGAGTCCCTTTAAAGAATAGTAAAAATCAACTGGTCAATTAATCGGAATTTTTTTGACTTCTAGGCGCCATCTCCCTGCTACACATTTTTTCAGCAAGTACACAAACGCAATTTTCCTGGAGGTCGACCAGCCGTTTAAATGTGACCATTCCACGGCTGACTATCTTAATCGTTTTGTCGATTTGCTACAAAAAGGAGACGGGCTGGAAGGGGCGGACTTGCCCTTTAATGTGAGTGCATTTTAAATATAAAAAATATCAGACATGGCAATCGGCCGGGCCGCGCGGCTTTTTCGGCCGCAAAAATTAGAATGCGGCCGAGCCGCGCGGCTTGGCCGCACTTCCGGTGCGGCCGCGGCTTTTTTCCGTTTTGAGGCCGCACGGCGGCCAAGCCGCGCGGCTTTTAAGGCCGCATCCAAATGAGTTTTGAGAACTTCCGGTACGCAAATCCGAGATGTAATGGGTATTTAGCTTGCTAACGAGGAGGATTTATTTTCGACAGCCTTAATTTTCTCATTTCCATTTCCATTTCGCATGAAATTCGCGGATTTTTGGTATGTAGAAGAGCTACTTCCGGTTTGCGGCTTGGCCGCGGCGGCCCGGCCGAGCCGCGATGAAAATGCGGCTCGGCCGCGAAGCCGCGTTTCCGGAAGTAACTAATTACGGCGGCTCGTAGGGGGCCGCGTTTTTTATGGAAATTAGGCCGCCGGCCCGGCCGCGCGGCTCGGCCGATCGGAATTGCCATGTCTGAAAAATATTAACAGGTTTTCACAATGAAACAAGGCAATTCTGTCACCACCACACTATTCGCACAATTAACAGATTTCTGCCACGACAATTGGGCCAAGAACCTGAAACTTTTTAATTTTAGGGGATGTTTTTAATTGTTTGCGACGAGCTAGTACAGGTTGTTTCCGGAAAAAATTGCGGTGTAGAAGGCAAACTCACATACATTAACACCGTATCTGGTTAATTCTAGGGAATATTTTTTGAAACATGCTTTTTTCGAAAAATTTGGTTTACGTTTTGCGGCAAATGGCGTCGCCTTTGATCGCAGTAATTTGATTTGAAGCCAAAATTAAGTTCTAATGGAAAATAAAAAATGCGCTAATTTAATTGATTTCTCCGGCTAGATTCTTCCAAACAGGGCGGTCCGGAAAAGCGAATTTGTCGAAACATCGCAATTTTCCGCAGCATCTTAATTTTCCGCTGCTATAACTGACCGTTGTTACCGCTCATTTTCTTTGCTGATAAACTGTTAATCTCAAACTTAAATCTGCCAAAATTAATAGATTTAATAAGTTAATATATAATTTTACATTTGAGTTTTTTGAGCAAGTTCCTTAAAATACTTGTGAAGCGAACGGCGTAGAATTAGTCAAACCTTTATATCGTTTGTCCGATAAATCTGATGAAACATTTTGCGATCAATTCTAGACTATCGATTCAATTTTTTGACGGCGGCCTTCAGTTTGATACCCTAATTATTCTAATTTTGCAGGAAACTGAATTCCTGGAATCGCCGGTGCAAAAAAGGCTAAAGATCGTTTTTGAAAAATGCCCAAAATGCCATCCGATCGATATTTCGGAGGAGCTTATTGGTGGGTTTTTTTCGTTTCAGAGCGAATAATGAAAGATTCTAGGTAGTTCTGAAGCACCAACTTTGCCATTGTTTGAAACCCATTTTTAGAACGGCAACGTGGCATGCTAAAAACGTACGACCCCGACACATTAATGGCAATCCTGGATAATGATTGCCATTTGACGCCAACTGGATTAAGCCTAATTGAAAAACCTATAAAAGCACAAGTCCTCAGCGTCATTAATAAATTAAAGTAGGCGGGGCCTCACAAAGGATCGGTGAATTAATTACCAGAAACACGAGCATCGAAGGAAAAATTCCGTAACATATTTTTTCCGAAAGTGCAACACACCGTCTAAGATTTGGACCTGGACTGAACCGTTTGCGTTATCGGGGGGGTTACTTAATTGTTTAAAATATTTGACTTTTTGGCCAAAAATGTCTGAAAAATTGCCAGAAATGAAATTTGCGAATTTTCAAAATTCTTAATATAGCTTTTATAACTTTCTAGCAATCAAAAATTACGAAAAACATTACCAAATACACTATTTATTATTAACAGGCAGGTATAGACGCGAAAATAAAAATTATCTTGCCCCCCGCTCAGCATCCCCCGATAACAGTCCAGTACCATTTATTGGTTCAGTCAGTTGTGGGTGCGCGAAATATGCCAAATAACACTTTTATTCCGGGCATCACACAGCGTAAACACACAGTCGAAAAAATTGAGGGCAGCAGACAAAAGAAATAGCATTCGATGGCTGGTTCGGTTGATTTGGCGGCTTCTCAGCAAATGCGCGGCTTCACCAGCGGCTCGTGACCGATGCTAAAACGGAAATTAAGTTATGTAAGTCTGTTGAAACTGCTTAAAATGTTTAATTCAATATTCAATAAAAGCACCTCCCGAAAATTGCTACTTTTATGCTGGAACATCAGTGTTTCATAACTGCCTATTCAGAAACGCAAACGAACGCAAACGGTTCAGTCCAGGTCCAAATCTTACTAGGGAGGTATCTGAACTCGGCATCGAACTTTGAGAAGTCAGATACACCATTCGACGCGCCTTGTCGAGGGGATTCCAAATATGTAATAAAATCAACCAGAGCCTATAACGATAAAAAGTTATGAGCATTTTAAGTTTTGCACCGAAAAGTGTCGCTGCGATATGAGCCCCTCCCAGAGCACCCTGTTCATCGGTTCTGTGGCCTAGTGGTGTGCGCATGGGTCTCTGGGCTGTATGACCAGGGTTCGGATCCGCTCACGACTTTTATTTTTTGCTTTTTGACCGGTTTCTACTTTTTGCATTTCCAAGTGGGGAATAAGTTTTTCTCGACTGTGTGACCCCGAAAAAGCACTAGCGATGATAAAATAACCTCGGACAAAAAACCAGGATTGGACGTTCTCTATATCAAAGTTGGCAAAATCGTCAAAAACCGCCCTTTTAAGACTCTGTACGAATTCGAAAAATGTAATTTGTCAAAAACAGAACAATACAGCTTGATCAGCAAAAAAATTCCCTTTCGAATGAGCTATCTTACATAGGCTTTACGCGAAATTCTCGAAACGTCTTCGGCAAGCTGGCCATACCCTACCCCTACACTGCATTCCAAAAATCTTTTTTGCGGAAATTTTTGGCAGCCGTTAGTAATATAGTTCATTTGAAAGAGCTTTCTTTGTTGAACAAGAAGCACTAATCAGTTTAGACTAAATTCCATTCCGCGGGATGATACAGGGTCTCAAAGATACTGTTTTTCACCATTTTGTTGACTTTGAATGCTCATAACTTTTTACGGTTATACGCTCTGGTTGATTTTATTACATATTTGGAATCCCCTCGACAAGGCGCGTCGAATGGTGTATCTGACTTCTCAAAGTTCGATGCCGAGTTCAGATACCTCCCTAGTAAGATTTGGACCTGGACTGAACCGTTTGCGTTATCGGGGGGGTTACTTAATTGTTTAAAATATTTGACTTTTTGGCCAAAAATGTCTGAAAAATTGCCAGAAATGAAATTTGCGAATTTTCAAAATTCTTAATATAGCTTTTATAACTTTCTAGCAATCAAAAATTACGAAAAACATTACCAAATACACAAAATAAAAATTATCTTGCCCCCCGCTCAGCATCCCCCCCCCCGATAACAGTCCAGTACCATTTATTGGTTCAGTCAGTTGTGGGTGCGCGAAATATGCCAAATAACACTTTTATTCCGGGCATCACACAGCGTAAACACACAGTCGAAAAATAGAGGGCAGCAGACAAAAAAAATGGCCTTCGATGGCTGGTTAGGTGGACTCGGCGACTTCTCAGCAAATGCGCGGCTTGACCAGTGGCTCGTGACCGATGCTAAAACGGAAATTAAGTTAGGTACGTCTGTTGAAACTGCTCAAAATGTTTAATTCAATATCCAATAAAAGCACCTCCCGAAAATTGCTGCTTTTATGCTGGAAAATCAGTGTTTCATAGCTGCCTATTCAAAAACGTTAAAGCTTTAAAATTTGTATAAAAAATATAACCACTCGCTTTACGGCCAAAAATGGCTTATTTACGGCCAAATTTCTAATTCTATAAGTTTTTTAGATAGATACCACTTGGAAAACGGAAAAGTCGGGAATTCAGTCTCATGCCTTTAGGAAATTCACAAAACTGATTTTTAAATTCAGCATAAAAATCTTAATTCAAAATAAATGAAAATCCACCTGGAATCCGGGCCGCCCGTCTGCAGCTGGCGGTAGAACACTAGAAAACGGTCATATTTATATTTTTCAAAGAATTTCATAGAAAAATGTTTCAAAAATATAGCGTCTCGCCACTGTTGTATCCATACTAGTTAGTTGTTTTCTTTCCTCAATAGAACCCACTTTCCTTCTTGACGCGCTCCATCTTGGAGGGACGGCTGAAAAAAAATATTTACGCGTAAAATTTCAAAAATGTTTCATTGAATTTCATTGAGACAAATTTTCGAAGTATCACATTATGGCGCATCTTTTTGCAAATCGATTTTCGTGCTTTCCGTTTTTCCTTCCTCCCAAAAATTTTTTTTCCATTAATTTCAGGAACGTCGTAGTAAGTAGCTTAATCGTGTTTTTAGCCAAATTTAATTATATTTTTGTGGCAGAGTAGCTCAAAATCTCGAAATATTAATCATAAATCGGCCAGTGGTAATGAAAAACCACTATTTTTTTGTAGTTAATAAAAATTTGTCACGTTTTTGCGTGAAGCCTCGTAGGCTAGGTCATTTTTTATCAAATGGCAAAAAATGCTCACGTGATTGCGCAGAAGATGATGAGGATAAAGATGACGAACACGAGCGTGCCCACGAAAATCGAGATGCCGAACGACCGGCGGCAGTCCAGGTCGCAATTCTCTGCAAAGGAATCGGAATAGAATTGTTTTAATAGTGCTTAAAATTGTTCAACCGTCCATTTTATGTTAAGAATTTTCTAAAGAATTGCTACCAATTTTATATTTTAAAAACTTGTATTTTGAAAAACTCGCACAAGGCTGTGACGCTGCGAGAAATAATATGTTTCAAGAAGCGGTAAGGCCGACTCCAAAAATTACGAAACATTCCCAGCACCTTCATATGACCGCAAATTTAATTTTGTCGTTTTTGAATCATGTTGTTTCGCATTATCAGGGGGGGGGGAATCCTTATTTCTTAGTATCCAATTTTTCTATCAACTATAATAATTTTCTTGACGCGTCCGTCTGTCTGTCCGAAGCCGAATTCAACTCGAAGGCTATTTTGGTAGTTTTTGAAGGGGATTTCAGCCATGGGGGGTATCTGAAGCCATCAGGAAGGTATTTTGGTAGTTTTTGAAGGGGATTTCAGCCATGGGGGGTATCTGAAGCCATCAGGAACGTATCTAAGTAGTTTTTGAAGGGGATTTCAGCCATGGGGGGTATCTGAAGCCATCAGGAAGGTATTTTTGTTAGGAGAGGGTCTAAAGCCGTCAGGAAGGTATCGAAGTAGTTAGTGGAAGCAGGTAGATAGGTAGATGTATTACATGGAGGGTAACCCGAAGGCCAGATGGTTACAGTCGCGAAGCGACTGGAACCATCTGGTTAGGAATATAGGGAAAGTTTCTAAACTGTTTTTTTTTTACTATTCATAAACGCCAAAACGTCACAACTTTCAGTAAAAAAACATAGAGAGACATCGATCGTTCGACGAGAATTACGAAGTTTAAAAGGATAACGATGGCATAACTAATCGGTGACGCGAGGGAAAAAATGTCTCTGCGTCTCGCCCTTGCGCGCGTTCTCTGTCCTGTTGGCTACGTCGATAAGTCGATCAGGGGTGATCCACTTATGCCGTCGGTATCCCTTTAAGATTTTGAAAAGTTTTTTTTAGATAGCTCTTCCAGAGGCAACCTAGCTAAATCTGACTAATAACCGTATTGGAATAGTTACTGCTGCGTTCCTAGGATTTTTTGAGACTTAGGCGAAAATGAGGCGGCCCGGCCGTTTTTGTTTTCCGAAAATCGAATTTTACGTACATGTAAAAATAAAGTTTCAGCAATGGCAAGAAATGCTCAAAATTAACAATGTTTAGTGTTTAAGTTGGGTGAATTTGAGATAGTTTGATATCGATTCAGGATTTTTTAAAATTTAAAATTTAAATTCATTTAATTTTTGACATTTATTGTTGATACTTGGTTAATTGGGGTAGGACCTTTGCCTTAAAAAAACAATTACTTTAGTGGTTTTGAAAGTGATGAATTCTCAAAAACCACAAACCAGCTTCCGCTTCGCGGCGTTTGGCCACCATCGCGTACGTCCGCTCGGCGCTCGTCGAATTGGCCAGCTTTTCGGTGCATTGCAGCCCGTTCCACTTTGCTAGAGCCACACCGGCGCCTTCGGATTTCTGCAAAGAAAGTATGAAAATTATAATGTTTCGACAAATTGCATAAACACGTTTATTTTTAAATGAATACTATGCTGTATCCCTTCTTCGATCTTGTATAAAATTGATTAAAATCATCTTTATTATCAGATAATTAAACAAAGTATAATTAACTAGCTTTTAATTTAATTATTATCTATTAAAATAATTTCCATTTTTATTTATCGGTCTTTCACGTTATTTGGGGCATGGCGCGTAATAAAGTATTTGGCAGTGTAAAATAAAATTCCCGACTAGGAAATTGAGAAAGTCAGAAATGTTTGGAACGTTTAACTTTTAGTGGAAAACTCGCTATTTTTGCATTTTGCGACCAATTATGAGGCTTAAAGATTTCCTTCGCCGATTTAAATTTAGTTTCAAATTTAAAGTTAAATAATTGAATTTAAAAGCTTAAAATTAAAAAGCAATTGAAAATTTCACCAATTACCTTAATAGCCTTGTGGACACAGCGACAAACATCCTCGTCACACCAAGTCCGCCCGCGTTGATAGTGGTAGCAGCGCTCGTGGAAGATGCAACACTCCGAGATACGGCCTGAAAATTCAAATATTTGCCGGTTCTTGTTTATTATCGGGGGGTGGGGAGGCTTAAGTGCAGCTTACCCCCCTTCCCCCGGCCGACCCCCACCTACCCCGTATCTCGGCTCCCTGTTCATCTACATCTACCTCACTTTGGAGGCATTTTTGGATCTTGGTCTTTTAACAAATCCGAAGTTTATTAAATCCGCTAAACGAAAAGCCGATTAATTACACATAGTTTTGGCAATAAAAAATTATGTTTCGGCGAACGGCCCTGAGTTTAACTCTGGCAAAATTTATAATTAACTGTGACATTTCAATTCCAAAAATTTTCATTTTTCCGTTTTCACTTTTGATTGGTATCATTTTTTGCCTACTCTAATATTTATGGGCACTTTAT